CAGGTCCTGAGTTTGGGGGTGTGTGAGAAACAACCAATCAATATATCTCTCACATATCAATGTTTCCCTCTCTTTTCCCCTATCTAAAAATAAATAAATAAAATCTTTTTAAAAAATCAACTGTATTTCTACACACTGGCAATACACAATTGAAAAAATAAAATTTAACACACAATTATACCACTTATGATTATCCCAGAAATGGGGGGAGGTGGGAGAAATATTTACATATAAGTCTAACAAAATATTTACAAAATTTGTATCCTGAAAACTACAAATGCTGATTAAAAAATGAAATATCTAAGTAAATACAGAGTTATACCATGTCTGAGTATTGGAAGATTCAACATAACAAAGATATTAATTCTCTCCAAATTGAGCTCTAACTTTAATACAATTCCTAAGAAAATTCCAGCAAGAATTTAACAGATATAAATAAATCTACTGTCAAATTTTCATGGGACGACAAAAGTTAAAGCAATTTTGAAAAAGGAAAAGTCAGAATCACACTCCCTGATTTTTAAGACTTTACTATACAAACAAAATATCAAGACAGTGTGACATATGCCAAGGGATAGACACAAAAATCAATAAAACAGAACAAGAGAATCCAGAAACACATTCACATAAGTACAGCCAGCTGATTTTTGACAATAATGCATAAGCAGTTGAATGGAGAAAGAATAAATCTTTTCAGCAAGTGGTGTTAAGACAACTGGACATACAGGCAAAGAACTGAACTTGAGCCCTATGAAAAAATTAACACAAAATGGATGGTAGGTCTAAATATAAAATGTAAACTATAAACCTTTCAGAAAAAAACATCTTTTTAAAAAAATATTTTATTTTTTATTTTTAGAGAGAGGAGAAGGGAAGAAGAAGGGAGGGAGAGAAACATCAATGTGTTGATGTTTTGCCTCTTGAATGCCCCCTACTGGAGACCTGGCCCACAACCCAGACATGTGCCTTGACTAGGAATTGAACTAGCAACCCTTTGGTTTGCAGGCTGGCACTCAGTCCAGTGAACCACACCAGCCAGGGCAGGAAAACAACCTTGATGATGACATAGTGTCATGTGAAGAGTTCTTAGACAACTCCAAAAGTAAATCCATTAAAGAAAAAAATTGGTAAATTGTACTTTAACAAAATTAAAAGTTTTTACTTTGTGAAAGACCACATTAATAAGATGAGAAAAGAAGCCATAGACTGGGAGAAAATATTTGCAAATCATCTACCTGACAAAGAACTTGTATCTAAAATAAAACTCAAGAGTTAGAAAACAACTCAATTAGAAAATACGCAAAAGTCTTGAACAGACACTTCAGCAAAAGAGAGTATCAGGATGCCAAATAAGCACATAAGATGTTCTATATCATTAGCCATTTAAAATGCAGATTAAAACCATGATGACTTTTACACACCAATTAGAATTTCCAAAATAGAAAATCTTGATGATACCAAGTGCTGACAAGAATGCTGAAAAACTTAGGAGGTACGGATGGCTAGGATTGGGGGTAAATGCAGACAACTGTAATTGAATGACAATAAAATAGTTAAGAAAAAAGAATGCTGAAAAACTGGATCTCTCATATATCTCTTGAAGGAATATCAAATGGTAGCCATTTTGGAAAACATTCTGGCAGTTTCTTGTAGAACTAAACATATACCCACCATATAACCCAGCAACAATGCTCTTGAGCATTTAAAACCTATATATGACGTATCCATAGCAGTTTTACTTGTAGTAGCCCAGACTGGAAACAACCCAGGTGTCTTCCGGCAGATGAATAAACTGTGGTACATCCATACCACGGAATACTACTCAGCAATGAAGGTAGGATCAAGGAGCCCTATTAGATACTTGAAATATTAGTTACATCATAGAATACTGTGCTGAGCAGCTCATACTTTAGTGTGGAGGGCAAAAAAGATGTACAAGATAGCAAGGCCAGTGGGGATAATGTACAGAATTTGGTGTACCCCCAAGGGGGAATAGCCAGTATGACCTTGAGGGAAACAATGGCTACGTTAAGACAGAAAGTCGGTTTTCTCTTTCTAGTCAGTGCCAAGCCATGGGCATCTCTCGGGACAATTGGCACAAGCACCGCAAGACCAGGGGCAAGAGGAAGGCCTACCACAAGAAGCAAAAATATGAGCTGGGGTGCCCTGCAGTCAACGCTAAGATTGGCCCCCGGTGCATACACACAGTTATGGGGCGAGGAGGCAACAAGAAGTATTGAGCCTTGAGGCTGAACGTGGGCAACTTCTCCTGGGGCTCAGAGTGTTGTATGCACAAAACAAGGATTATTGATGTCGTCTACAATGCATCCAACAACGAACTGGTCCAAACCAAGACCCTAGTAAAGAACTGCATCGTGCTCATTGACAGCACACCATACTGACAGTGGTAGGAGTCCCACTATGCACTGCCCCTGGGCCACAAGAAGGGGGCCAACCTGACTCCTGAAGAGAAAGAGATTTTAAACAAAAAAAGATCAAAGAAAGTTCAGAAGTATGATGAAAGGCAAAAGAATGCCAAAATCGGCAGTCTTCTGGAGGAGCAGTTCCAGAAGGGCAAGCTTCTTGCATGCACTGCTTCAAGACCAGGCCAGTGTGGCCGAGCAGATGGCTATGTGCTGCAAGGCAAGGAGCTGGAGTTCTACCTGAGGAAAATGAAGGCCTTGGAAGGCAAATGAATCCTGCTCCATTTAAAAATCGAACAAACAAACAAACAAAAAAACAGATTCCTCTAATAAAGGTGATCTATGTTAAAAAAAAAAAAAAGAAAGTCTAGCAGTGGGACTCATACTGTGTGGACTGAGACCTGGGAGATAGGGGAGAAGAGGAGGAACCAGCAAAGGGCACATGACGAGGAGCCAGTGGATTCAGCACGCGGGTCACTAGTGACTTGACAAGCAGTTACAGTTGGTCAGCCAAAGAACTCAGCACATGGCGGAAACTAATTCTGAATGTAATAAATTAATTGTAAGGCCCATTTGGTCTGATAATTAAAAATAAGAAAAGTTTGTGAGCTATTATTCAAGTCATGTGTCTTTTCGTGATGTTTAAAATATGTCTTCCAAACTTTGACATCTAGATAAATCTAAAGGTTTACAATTTAGGTGGGTGAAGCCAAGCTCTGTAATAAACTAATTTGACACTAAAATGGTCCTTATCATTTTACATTTCACTGAAGGCAAACACCACAGAAGAATCTGCCATTAAGAAAAAAAGCAGAGCTTGGCTGTTTAGTCTTACTTGGGACCACCCTTTCATCTACATTAATCATCTAACTAAATTTCTTTTTTTAGTTCGAAAGCTTGCAAATTTAAAACAACACACACCGAGGCATTTTACGGCACAGTACCTGAATAAACAAAAATATTTTAGGTTCAAGTGATTTGTTTGTAACTTTTTTTTACTGCTGCACGGGAGATTGTCTGATATAGTTTCCATTCTCAATGAGGGTGTTTATAGGATTCATTTCCATCATGTCAGCAGCAGCAGCAAGGATCCCACTTGACAGCTAGGGAACAGGACTTGCCCAAGGTCACAAGCTGGTACACATGGAACTACGGTCCATCATTCCAATGTTCCTCCCTGGAGTTCGCAGCCTTGCTCTCCTTAACTCACTGAATCTACTGGGTACTACTTTCGGATCAAAAACATTTTCATGGTAGCATTCATGGCCCTTAAGTGAAATTTCACTTCCCTTCTCTTCCAACTAGCAAACCAGGTCCTCTTCTCCCATCAGTAAGCATTGTCATTATTCTCAAGGGGATGCCCACTTTTCCTAAATTTACCTAAATTTTGCCCTTCCCTCAAGCTCAGCACAAGCCACCACTGTCCCCAAACTGCTCCCAGTCCACAGAGGTCCCTTCCCATCCTTTGCCTGTACCATTTCTTCACCATAATTTACAATCTCACATTTGCTAATTAGTAATTAAAACATGCCAAGACCTCGTTCAGAGGTTAGGCTGCTGGTAACTTCCAACCACCCAGACCACAATCTAGCAAAGTTTAAAAAAACAAAACCTCAAAACCCAACGACAAAGCTTTTGAGTAAGAAAAAAACAGCTGTCATAAGCATATTCTAGGAGAATTCTGATCCAAGATTGGATTCTGCTGATCATTTTTATTCAGTGTTAATCTGAATATTGTGGACCCCGTGTAACCAAAAGCCCCTATTAGCTAACATTTGTGCAGTGCCTGCCCTGAGCCAAGCACTCTGTTAAGTGCTCCACCACACAATCCAAAGGAAAGAGATTAATTAATTTGCCCAAGGCCACAGTTGGTAATGGATGGAACCAGCACAGGAGCCCTTGCTTTTAAATAATTACATTTTCCAGCCAGTGAGCAAGCAGCTTGATTGACAAGAGAGGCAGGAATCCTGTCTGCAAGAAAGTCAAAGAAACTGAAAAAAGAAAACAGTGAAACTACAAGTACTTAAGAAATCTGGAGGGCTCTAGGTGGGGGAACAAAAGGCCTTACTGGTTGCTCCTATGGTCCCCACTCTGTTGTGGCACAACATGTCTGAATTTACTTTTCCTTGTCTTGAGAAGGGTTATTTTGTACTTGGTAAGCGCTGTTTTAAAAAGCCCAGTGGTACAGCATACATTCTGGAATGACTTTCAAAAAAAATGGTGAAAACACACAAGATTTATTCACCCTAAAATGTTCAGGGATTAGTAAATCATTCCTGAAAACCTTTTTTTAAACAAAGGTGTGAATCTACGTCTTACATTTGCATAGTAGTTCACCTCTTCTCAAAGCCTTCCTTTCACATGCGCTTATTGTAATTCTTTCAGCACTCCAGGAAGGGAGTGGAGTGGGGGCCGGCAAGAGGCAGAGAACACTAACTCCTAATTACTACAAAATGAGAGAGTCAAATCTTAGTGGCAGAGCCCAGATAAAGCCCAGGTCTCACCAGCCTTGCACTGTTTCTAGATCATTAAGTTCCTCACGTATTGCATATATCCCAGGACATCTGATACACGCACCTCCACATTGTTTGTGGTCTCTTTCAACACAGAAGGACTTCCTGGAGGAAGCTGATTGATCAGAAGCCAGCGATGCCACTAGTAGCGGCCTCCATCTCAGCGGTCGCACCTCGTGTCAGGGTACAGCCGGAGAGTACCCGGGGGCACCCCCCAAAACCCTGACCGTAGCGTGCCCTGCGTCCCAAGAAAGCGGGGTTCCCGGGTCACGTGCCGGGGGTGGGGGCGTTGGGGACGGCGGGCGTCCAGGCCGCGCCGGTGGGGCTCAAGGGGAGCAGGAGAGGTCTTGTAGGTCGGGGCCGGCCGGAGCCCGTGGAGCAGCGGAGGGAGGCGGCGGCGGCGGCGGCAACGGCGGTGGCGAAGGGGCGGCCCTGCGTCCGCGTCACGTGGTGCGAGGCGGGCAGCCATCTTGCTACAAACACAAACAGAGAGGAGCGGCCGCCGCGGGAGTGCCAGCGCCCCTTCCCCTGCTGCCCCCGCCGCCCCCGGCCCGCCGCGCGCCGCCATCCCGCCGCCCGCCAGCTGCCGCCCACGCCCTGTGACCGGAGTCTCGCGCCGCCTGCCAGCCGTGGTAAGCGCTCGGTGGCCCCGCCGCCCCCGGCCCGCAGCCGGGCCCGGGGCAGGCCCGCCCCCGACGCCGAGGCAGCCGCGCCGAGCCTGCAGGAGCCAGAGCGAGGGCCACTGGCATAGACCTCCTCTGGCTCCCTCCGAGGCCGCTGCCGCTAGGTTGCCGCCCCCCGGGCCAGGGGTCGGCCCCTCCCCTGGCGCGGCCCCCAGTGGCGCTGTCCCTCTCGGGGGGCGGCCGCCCTCGCCCCACGCACCTGGCGCCCCTCCCTGAAGGGCACGCTGTCCTCCCGGCCGGCCCGCCTCCTTCCCACCCCCGCGCTCCTAACGGTCGTGCTCCGATCTCTCTGAAACCTGGCCAGGGTTCCCAGGTCTCCCCCTGCCAGCATCCTTAGCCAGGTCCGCTCGGGGGCCCGGGATCAGAATGTCCAGCGCTCCCAGGAGATTCCTCAACGTGCCTCTGGGTTTCTGTTGGAATTAGCTGGGCCCTGCGTGTCTTAAAGTCCAAACATTGCATGACTGGCAAACGTGGAAGCCTTTCTCCATAACCAGAGCACCTCTACTGGGTCTTCACCTGAATTTACTTTGAGCTAACAACACTAGTGCTTGGTCATCGGGGGCTCCCTCCCGGTTGCCTGGAAGTGTTCAACACGTTAGTTTTTTTCTGTTGCCAGCCTGGGCTCTTCCAGGTCCATCTCCCCCGATTCAGCACCTCTGCTACGGCCTCTCTCTCACGCGGGCCTCCCCCCCACCGCAAGTTAACTTTAGAGATCCTCATATCACACACCGCTTACCCAGTCATTACTGGAATTCCCAGTAAGCTTCCAGGTTTGGTCCATCACAACCCCGGCCTTGGGAGATGCTAAATCAATAGTTGTTGGCTCGTTCCTTTCCTCCAGCCACCCAAGACATTCCACTCTTGCTTCTCAGTGCTGCCTTTCCAAAGGTCATCAGCCTTTACACACCCTCTCTGCTGCTTGGAGCTCACATGGCAGTTGCAATTGAGCTACACACCAACAGCTCCCAACTTGCCTTGGCAATATAAGCACCATGGGTACCAACTGGCAGGCCCCCTTTGCCGCTCACAGTGTGTGGGGGAGTTTGCTTTCTGGTTCCTTCATCTGTTCTGTTTCCTGTGCAGTCCCAGGCCACCTACCCTCCCTGGAGCCCCAGTTTTATTTTCTACATTGTAGGTCTAGCATGTCTCTGGGAAAGGTTGGGGCAGAGCTGGACTGTAGACCAGATACCATATGGTGATTACAGTTAGGTGAGTTGTGTTTGACCCCTGGCCTGGCTTTTTTAGCCACTGGATGTGTTAGTATTGTGTGTAATGTGTTGGATTAAAGGACCCCGTTTTGCTCTTGCTTTGATGTCTGCGGTTGGAGTTTACAGTGGGAGAAATAGCCCACCTTAGAGCAGAAAAGGTGAAAAGAGGCAGCTGTATGAAGGATTTTAAAAATTTAACAAATTTAAAATGGCTTAAAACTCACAAAGTATGCTTGAGAGTTTTGAGTGGTTCCTGCTGCTTGCATGCCCCTTCTCCAGTCTGGATAGAGTGTCTAGGGACCTCTCTGTACCCTGCTGGGGTAGCTGCAACCTCTCTTCCTTGTTTTCCCTGGCTGGAGCCCAAGACTGGGCAAGTGGGCAGAAGGGATCAAATGAGTTAAAGTATGGAAGTGCTTTGAAAACTATTAGCTAGTAGACAGGCTGAGGAGCAGCATTTGTCAGGATGGCTCAGAGTGGAGAGCTGGGGTAGCTGACCAACAGAAAAGATTTGGCTTGCACCTCTTTTTAAGCCTCTGAGTTCTCATTTACCATGCAGGGAGAATCTTTCCATCCTGAGAAAGGGTGGAGCCACCTCCAACAGGCTTGGGGCTGGGCAGTTGCTCAAATGTTGGAGAATTTAGTATTCTGCTTCTGTTAATAGTGATACTTTTCTGTGCCAAGGCATATTGCTCTGGATTGGGCTAATTTTAGGGGTGATGGAATGAGCAAATAGTGCTTTAAAGTTAGTGTGTACTGGGACCACCTATTCTCTGGATCTTTACCTTCTCCCTTGAGTTCTGAACTCTAGAGAACGAACAGTCTCCCCTCCTCGTCTTTCAAGCCTGTTATCGTGAGCACCCAGGACCAGTGTGTATCCTCTCCCCTTGACTCCAGCAGGGGGCAGCCTTTTAATAGCAATAATTCAGATGCCAGTGGAGTGAGGATACACTAAGGCCTGATTAAGAGGAGCTGGTAAATGAGGTAGGCAGGTGCTGAGGATAGGGCAAGGGGTAGGGGTTAAGCTAGAATGAGCCTATGAGAAAATTTTTAAATCAAGTAACCAGGAAAGGCTATGTCCCCACTGCTGTGCCTGCTTATTCTCCCACCCTTTCCTTCACTGGAAAAGAATCCAAACAATTGGCTTTGAGTTTGTGATAGAGAAACTTAGGACAATTTTTTTTTAAGATTTTATTTATTTATCTTTTAGAGAGAGGGGAAGGAAGGGAGAAAGAGAGGGAGAAAACCATCATCATGTGGTTGCTTCTCGAGTGCCCCCAACTGGGGACGTGGCCCACAACTCAGGCATGTACCCTGATTGGGAATCAAACCAGCGACCATTTGATTCGCAGGCTGGCACTCGAGTCCACTGAGCCACACAGCCAGGGTGATAGTTTTTGTTTTTAACTCTAGTCTTTTCCCAGGGATTTTCCTCCTGGAAGGGTTTCACATTTCTCTCATTGGTCAGTATAATTATTTCCTTGCTCTTCAGAGGGGAGAATGAACTGCAGTAAATTTGGTTTCTCCTGTATTTTATTCTTTTCCATAGAGAAAATAGGTGTTTACCTCTGTATGTGGTATAGAGGAGGGTTTCTCAAACGTGGCAATATTGACATTTTGGGCCAGATAATTCTCTGTTGCGGAGTGCTGCCCTGTGCATTATAGGATGTTTAGCAGCATCCCTGGTCTCTACCCACTAGATGCCAGTAGCACCTCCCAGTCATCCCAACCAAATATGTCTCCAGATTTTATCAAATGTCTCTTGGGAGCAGAGTGCCCTCTACCCCCAGTTAAGAACCACTAGCTTCAAGGGAACATGTGGAAAAACACATACCTACTTAGAGTGATGGATATTGTGGGAGGCATGCGTGCTGCTCAGCTAGGATGGACCAGTGAGCCACAATCTCTGGGACCAGGTCCTCTTCCTGCTGGGCCCACCTGTAGACTTGTTCTTTTTCTCCAGCTGCTCCTCTATTCCCTACCCCACCCCACCCCTGAATCCTCCTTATTTTCGCCTCTGCAGTTTTCCTGCTTCTCATACTGGGACCCACTTTTCCTTTGCTCCTTGCAACCAGGACAGAAAGGCAAAGGTCAGCCGTGGAAAGCACCAAGGAGGGCCGCCTTTGCCACTCCCTGGCAGGGTGGGAGGGTGAGTTGTCCCTTTTCTGTTCCTTCTTCCTGCAGTAGCCTTCCATGCCCCAAGACTTCTTTGTTCCTCTAGAAGATGGGCTTTTGTGGAGTAAACTGGTAGAGGCTCAGAACAGCCTCTCCTGAGGTTTGTTTGAAGGAATTTGAGGTGTTTTTCTTGGAATGGGGAAGACTTAGGTATGTGACAGCTATCCCCAAATGCCTTTTATTTTTTTCCCTAAATCTTTAAAATGGTGATAAAATATGTACCACTTTAACTATTTTAAGTATACAATCCTGAAACATTAAATATACTCACGTTGTTGTGTAGCTGTCACCACCATCATCTCCAGAGCTTTTTCATTTGCCCCATTTCAGCTGAAACTCTGTGCCCACTCAACAGCTCCCCTAGCCCCATAGCCCTGGCACTCACTATTCTACTTTCTTGTCTCTTCGAATTTGACTCCTCTGGGAATCTCGTCTAAGAGGAGTCATACAATATCTGTTCTTTTGTGACTGACTTGTTTCACTTAGCATAAAGTCTTGAAGTTCTGTGCATTGGCCGAATTACATAAGGGCTGTAGCACTGAGAAAAATAACCTTACTCTGCTATCCGGGGAGGCTTACTTGAATTCCATGAAGGGAAGAGCTTTTCAACAGGCTTCTGATGGCCATGTGTGCTGTATCATGTTTCATCATCAGGAGTATCCAGCCAGAGCAGTTGCAGAAGAGATGCCCATACTGAGGGAGGTCAGCCCTATTCTCACTGGTCTCAGAAGCTCCGTTTCACCCTAGGATGCTGGGATTCTGGGAGTAGATTCTGTTTCTGTCCTAGAGTTTTGCATTGTCTTCTGCTATGCAGCTGTAGGTGAGAGAGTCTCTGCCCCTTGGCCCTTCTGGTAGAAACCCTTCTTCCTTCCTTCCTTCCCAGAGTTGTGGAGAGTCTTGGAGTTGATGGGCACTGTGGAGGTGCTCCGTTCCAGCCTCTTCCCCAGCCAGTGAGGGAACCCTTGTGCAGCCCCCTGAGACCCTGCTTGCCTGGAACCGCCAGGGATGAGCTGCCTCCTGAGAGCCTGCTCTACTGGTCCTTAGAGGGACAGGCCACTGCCGGTGCTGCCAATTCCGTCAGCCTCAGTAACTCTGACCTTACTTGTACTTTATGGTGAGAGGCTTTTTTCAGCTTGTCTGATCATAACTTTGTTCCCTTTTTAGTTCTTTTTATTTGTGCTTGGGTTCTTTCTGATCCCAGGAAAGGGGTTTGGGTGTTGGTTTCTATTTGGTAAATCAGCCCATGGGTGCCCCAGCTGGACTTGCCTACATGCAGTCTTCAATGTGTGCCCCAACTTTGTCCCTGGAATAGCATCCCTGCCCCCTTCTACTGGCTTTCTCTCAAAACTGATTCTAGCCGCCAAGCAGTCAGCTCTGAAATTTTTTAAGTGGGAAGTATATAATTTTTCTCCCAGATTAATCTCTAATTCTCTTCTCCATAACGGATCTTTTTTCTCCCTGGAATATTTGTAGTTCTAGTGGGATTTTTTGTTGTTGTTTGCTTGGTTTTTGTTTTATCTTTGTCCTGAATATCCATGAAAACCTTAAGCACCCCTTTACTGAAAGCTATGCCAAGTGGTGAGAGTTCTGAGACCTAGAGAGGTGCCTGGTATGTTCTCCGCCTACCTCCAGCACCTCGATCAGACTTTGCTTGTGAGGCTGAACATGTGGGGGGACAGAGATGAGGAGGAACAGGGGTGTGGTTGCTGTTATGCAGGGCAGAGGAGGGCCGAAGCAGGGAGACCCGTTTGACCCATTAATTCAGCCCACCTTCTCCTCCTCACCTCTCATTAAGGAATTTTCCCAGATGTGAAAGTCCCTTCCTGGGCACCACTGCAGTCAGACCAGCATCCAGTAGTTTGGGGGCCCTGGTTTATTCCAGCACAGGCTCCTACCTGAAGAGAGGCTGGTCCCTGCTCTACTGCTGCCCGGAATAAGGCTGCCAGGTGGGTCTGGGTCGAGGGAGGGTACCCCTGCAGAAACAGAAGGGGCCCTAGCTGTCCTCTTTTTCTCAAGTCTTCTCCGGTTGGGACTCTGGTTAATGCATGGTATGAGTGGCATGTGGGTGGTTTAGGTGGTGAGTCCTTTTAGAACTCATTACCACGGTGGGGACCTATGTCTTATCCTCTTGGAGTTGTCTGGGTGTGCTGTCTCTAAGCCCAGTGTACCCTGTGCTTCCACAGGTGTTTGGAGAGTGAAGTCTAAGTCCCCCCCAACCCCTGCTCACCTCCTGTGACCTCTAGGACACACACACCTCCACAATGGCAGCAGAGACCCTCAACTTTGGGCCTGAATGGTGAGTCAGATGTGCTTTGGGTGGTATGGAGAAGCCCGAAGGAAAAATAGGGCTGCTCAGATTCCTGTCTGTCTCCTTCTGTGTCATTTTCCTAGGCTGAGGGCCCTTTCCAGTGGTGGCAGTGTGGCCTCCCCACCCCCATCCCCTGCCATGCCCAAATACAAGCTGGCTGACTATCGATATGGGCGAGAAGAGATGCTGGCCCTCTACATCAAGGAGAACAAGGTAAGGAGTGGGTGCGGATGGGTTATGTGGCCCAGTTGCCTGTCTGGCCTTAGTGGAGAGGTCCCAGGAGCATGTGGTATCTTGGCCCTTCTGCTCTGATTTACAGGTCCCTGATGAACTGCAGGACAAGGAGTTTGCTGCGGTGCTACAGGAGGAGCCACTGCAGCCCTTGGCGCTAGAGCCTCTGACTGAGGAGGAGCAGGTGGGACTGGGCTGGGTTAGCTGTGTGCTATGGTCCTGGGGCTCCCTCTTTGAGGGGGGCTGGTTTGGGAAGACAGATGCTAGAGTTTGCAGTTCTGGACAGGGTGGGTGCAGTTAGGTGCCTGGGTCCTCACTCCCACCCCTGACTCCCTCCTCAGAGAAACTTCTCCCTGTCAGTGAACAGTGTGGCTGTGCTGAGGCTGATGGGGAAAGGGGCTGCTCCCCCCCCAGGTGGCACCTCCCGTGGCAGGGGCAGTACTCGGAGCCGAGGTAGGTGGGGGTGATAAAATGTTCTGGGCGGGCAGCAGAGTTGGGGGGGCACGGGGCTGTGGTCTTAAAGGTGTGCAGCAGTGATCTGGCAGGTTTCCCATGTGCATCTCATTTCTCTTTCAGGCCGTGGCCGTGGTGACAGTTGCTTTTACCAAAGAAGCATTGAAGAAGGCGATGGGGCCTTTGGTCGAAACCCCCGGGAGATCCAGCGTAGCCAGAGTTGGGATGACAGGTGCAGGCTGGAAGGAGATGGCATAGAGGCAGAGTAGAGAGAAGCCCAGGGTTAAGATCCAGGGTCCCGTGAAAAAAGGCTTGGGCGTTTGTTACTAGAGGGTGGTAGGAGACCAGCCAAATAAGCCCTGGTCAGAGATCGTGCTCTCTGCCCTCTTAACCCCTGTAGCCCTGCCCTGCCCTTCTGATCCTCCCAGCTCCCTCCTAGGCCTTACTTTTTCCCAGTACCCTCTCCCCTCCCTCCTTCCCTCCACCTTTCACAGGGCAGAAGGGACAGGTGTGCAGAGGTCTCAAAGGTCAGGGAGGGGAAGCTGTCCTTTGACCAACATCTTTCTGTCCCACAGAGGCGAGAGGCGGTTTGAGAAGTCGGCCAGGAGGGATGGAGGTATGGATAGTGGTGAGGGAGGAGCCAGGCCCTGAAGGTCATTGAGAGGTGGGAGGAGACTGAAACGGGTGGCCCAGTGAGGGGGACGTTTCCTGGGTAAGGTGTAGAGGGAGGGCAGGAGGATCCAGTGCTGGGCTCCTCTGTCTCAGGATTATAGAGTCTCCCAAGGCTGTGGCTGCCGATCCATTGACTGTGTCTGTGTCATCTTCCACCTGTGCTTTCCCCACCCCCAAGCACGCGCAGGGTTTGAGGAAGGCGGGGCTGGTCCAAGGAAGGAACATGCCCGCTCAGATAGTGAGAACTGGCGCTCCCTCCGGGAGGAGCAAGAGGAAGAAGACGAGGGCAGCTGGAGACTTGGGGCAGGACCCCGGCGAGATGGTGACCGCTGGCGTTCAGCCAGCCCTGGTGAGATTGGGGCCAGATGACTATTGTAGGGTGCTGGGTGGGGGGCAGCAAGAACATCCTATGTGAGGACTTTCATGGCCAGGAGGAGGGAGCTGAAAGTGTTCTTGAGTATATGGGGGAGCAGTCCTGACCTGTTGGGGGTCCTGGGAGTTTGGGGGACAGGAGAAGAGGAGTCTCTGGCTCGACTGGGATACAGATTCTCCTTCTCTGACTTTTCTTACCTAGATGGTGGCCCCCGCTCTGCTGGCTGGCGGGAACATGGGGACCGACGTCGCAAGTTTGAATTTGATTTGCGAGGGGATCGAGGAGGATGTGAAGAGGAGGGACGGGGTGGAGGGGGCAGCTCTCACCTCCGAAGGTGCCGAGGGCCTGATGGCTTTGATGACGACAAGGATGGGCTCCCAGAGTGGTGCCTGGATGATGAGGATGAAGAAATGGGCACCTTTGATGCCTCCGGGGCCTTTTTGCCTCTCAAGGTATCCACCTATGAGGAGACCAGAGGAAGACTTTTATTAGAAGTTGGTGGGAACTGCCCTAATGGGGTCCTCCTATTTCTGTTTATCCTTTGCCCTTTTACCTCCCATTGTATCCCGTAATCCCATGCAGAAAGGCCCCAAGGAGCCCATTCCTGAGGAGCAAGAGCTCGACTTCCAGGGTCTGGAAGAAGAGGAGGAAGAACCTTCTGAAGGGCTGGATGAGGAGGGACCTGAGGCAGGTAAGCCTGCAGGGGTGGGGTAAGGAGAAGGCCTGAGATCCTGGATCTGGGCCAGATGGGCAGAGGCTTCCCTCACCAGGTCGGGTACAGGCTGTTCACTCACCTGTAGGAGGAGGCTGCTTAGAAACTCAAGGAAAGCAGATGCTGACAGATGTGGGGAGGAACCTGGAAACAACAGGGCTGTGTCTTAAAGGTAGTGTGTCATAAAAATCAAGCATAATAAAAATGATCTTTGCAAATCCCTTGAAGAATCTTTAAAGCACAGCAGTAAATTTATGGTATTGTGCATACATCCCTGGACAGTGCTGCGGACACACATGCCCGTGTCAGTGTTGTAGGGGCAAAAGAGGAAGTGTGCAAAGTGGGATTTGTGGTGGTGAGTCACTGAGTGTTAGCTGAGTTGACCAAAGTCAAGTTGGTAGAATCAATACCCAGAGGCCCAAGATCTGGCCACAAATGGAGGGTTTGTGCTAAATAATTTTTAAATCCTTTTAGCTCTTTAGTATTGAATTCTGGTAATTACCCTTCTCTCTCAGATGGGAAGGAAATGACCCCATTGCCGCCTCCAGAGGAGAAGTCCAGCTCTTCATCCCCATTGGCTACCTTGGGCCCACTCTGGGGCACTAATGGGGAAGGAGGCGATGCTGTGGAGAAAGACCTGCCAGTTGCTGAAGGTAGCCAAAGAGTGGGGCTGCCTTTTCTCTGGAGCCAAGAGCTGGGGCGGGGCGGGGGGGGGGGGGGAAACGGGGGGACTACTCTTCTTGTGGGAAGGAGGTGCACAGGATATTTGTGTGGGGGCTAGAGTAGAGTCTGTTTTTCTGGAATGAGAGTAGATAGGGGACTGTCTTGTGCCTTCTCTGGACCTCTCCCCCCAATTCCATCTTCTTATCTTTGCTTCCAGGAGATGATTTGAGGGCAGTGCAGCTGAGTCCTGGGGTGGGCTCACCCCCTGGCCCGCCTGGAGATCTGGAAGATGATGAAGGCTTGAAGCACCTACAGCAGGTTGGGTGGGGGCAGGGGGCCTAATAAGAAGGCTGTACGATCCTCCCCTACAGGGGGACAGAAAGCTATTGTTAGTCTGCCTCTCTGTTTGGGTACCAAGCTCTTCCCTGTCTGTCCCTCTGTCCTACTCCATCCAGCTCACCCCAGCCCGACCTTCCCCCTGGCCCTGTCCTGCTGTTGCTGTGATTAGGCAGTTGAGCCTTCCCTCTCTCCCTGGGCTCCTAGGAGGCAGAGAAGCTCGTGGCATCCCTGCAGGACAGCTCCCTGGAGGAGGAGCAGTTCACAGCCACCATGCAGGCCCAGGGACTACGCCACTCGGCAGCTGCCACTGCCCTCCCCCTCAGCCACGGTGCAGCCCGGAAGTGGTTCTACAAAGACCCACAGGGAGAGATCCAAGGTGTCCATGGGGACTAGGGGGCACGAAGGAGAGCTGCTGGGGGTGAGGGCACACCGTCATTCTCTTTCAGGGCTTCTTTGGCACACCTTTCTAACCAAAGTCCCCCTCCTCTCGGTCCAGGCCCCTTTACAACACAGGAGATGGCAGAGTGGTTTCAAGCGGGCTATTTCTCCATGGCTCTACTTGTGAAGCGTGGCTGTGATGAGGGCTTCCAGCCACTGGGTGAGGTGATCAAGATGTGGGGTCGTGTGCCCTTTGCCCCAGGGCCCTCGCCACCCCCACTGCTGGTAAGCATACCTACCTTTGGGCAGGGAGGGGATGCGGGAGCCTGGTAGATGTCAGGTGGGTTGTGTGGAGCATGACGTGGTTAGAACTGTGGGAATACTCTTTCCTTTACTCAGGGAAACATGGACCAGGAGCGGCTGAAGAAGCAACAGGAGCTGGCAGCAGCGGCCTTGTACCAGCAGCTGCAGCACCAGCAGTTTCTTCAGCTGGTCAATAGGTAACATGGGCCTAGAAGGGCCTATAAATAGAGATGGGCACTGGTGGTATGGGTGGACCCCTTCATGCCTGTCCTCCTGTCCACAGCCGCCCCCTCCAGCAGTGTGGGCTCCGGGAAAAGGCGGCTCTGGGGGACCTGACACCACCGCAGCAGCAGCAGCTTACCGCCTTCCTGCAGCAGCTCCAAGCTCTCAAACCTCCCAGGTCTGTGGGCTGCTGTCTGTGGCATCACGTGTATGAACTCTCAGAATATGCAAAGTGGGGAGATGGAGCAGCCTGGAAATGGGTTTAAGGTGCTTAGAATCAGTGCTTTGCTCCTCAGAGGTGGGGACCAGAACCTGCTCCCGACGATGAACCGGTCCTTGTCGGTGCCAGATTCGGGCTCCCTCTGGGACATACATACCTCAGCCTCATCACAATCAGGTGTGTGGCCAACCCAGCAGTCTTGGGGGGGAGTAGAGACCTCAGGGGCTGTGCCTCCCCTTCAGGTTTAGTGCAGGGGGCCTCAGCTCCCTCCTGCAGCTGCCTTTGCCTCTTGCAGGCGGTGAGGCCAGTCTTTGGGACATACCAATTAACTCTTCGACTCAGGGTCCAATTCTAGAACAACTCCAGCTGCAACATAAAGTGAGTAGGCATCTTGGGGCTGGAGTCCTTGGTGTCAAGGGCTGAACTGACATGGGGGGTCAGGGTGGCTCTATGTCTGATGTCTGATCTTACTGACTTTCAGTTCCAAGAGCGCAGAGAAGTGGAGCTCAGGGTGAAGCGGGAGGAGGAGGAGCGCAAGCGCCGGGAGGAGAAGAGACGCCAGCAGCAGCAGCAGGAGGAGCAGAAGCGGCGGCAGGAAGAAGAGGAGTTGTTTCGGCGCAAGCAGGTGGGTATCCAGCTGAGCCCTCAGCCTGCTTGACCTGAGCTTGGGGCCAGATTGCTGGCTCTCACTCTCTGTGTGGTTCAGGTACGGCAACAGGAGCTACTGCTGAAGCTGCTGCAACAGCAGCAGGCAGTGGCCGCAGTCCCAGTGCCCCCTGCACCCAGCTCCCCACCCCCACTGTGGGCTGGCCTGGCCAAACAAGGACTCTCCATGAAGACGCTGCTTGAGCTGCAGTTGGAGGGCGAGCGACAGCTGCATAAGCAGACTTCGCCTCGGGAGCCATCACGGGCTCAGGCCCCCAACCACCGAGTGGTGAGCAAGCTGGGTTCTTCCTTGATTGCCTTGCAACTTTTGGGCCCCCAGGAACCCCTTCCAGTCAGCTCTCAGGGTGACCCGGGAGTGGGGTGGGGAGCTCTGGTCCATATCTGACTCTGAAGGGTCTCTCCTGTGTGATCCTAAGTTTGTTCCCCCTTTGACACATAAATAAGCCTCCCCACTTAGTTTTTTTGAGTGTGTGTTTCTGTTTGGGCCACTCTGACTTCTGCCATCTGTACCAGCTTGGGGGCCTGGGCGCAGCCCCCCAGAACCAGTGGGTATCTGAGTCTGGGCCACTGTGGGGCGGGCCCGACAAGAGTGGGGGCGGCAGTGTCGGCCTGGGGCTTTGGGAGGACACCCTCAAGAGCAGCGGGAGCCTGGCCCGCAGCCTGGGCCTGAAGAACAGCCGGAGCAGCCCCTCTCTCAGGTGGGTGCTGGGGCCTGCAGGGTCTGGGCTAGGGCTGGGCTAGAAGGATGTGGAACACCTGAACTGATCTCTTGCCTCTAATCCATCCTCCTCCCACTTAGTGATTCGTACAGCCACCTGTCAGGTCGGCCTGTGCGCAAAAAGACAGAGGAGGAAGAGAAGCTGCTGAAGTTGTTACAGGGCATCCCCAGACCCCAGGATGGCTTCACCCAATGGTGTGAGCAGATGCTGCACACACTGAGCACCACGGGCAGCCTGGATGGTATAGGTGGCAGATCCTGGGAGTCTGGGCTGGGCCAGGGTGTCAGACCTATTTTGTATAGGCCCTGACAGCGACCGTCCTGCCCTGTAGTGCCCATGGCTGTAGCGATCCTCAAGGAGGTGGAATCCCCCTATGATGTCCATGATTATATTCGTTCCTGCCTGGGGGACACGCTGGAAGCCAAAGAATTTGCCAAACAATTCCTGGAGCGGAGGGCTAAGCAGAAAGCCAGCCAACAACGACAGCAGCAGCAGCAGCAGGTAAGGTTTCATGTCCCCTGCAGGTGAGGATAAGGTCGCTCCATGCCCTCCTGACTCCTCCTCACTCTCTGCTCTTGCCAGGAGGCTTGGTTGAACAGCAGCTCTCTGCAGACGGCCTTTCAGACTAACCACAGCACCAAACTCGGCCCTGGAGAGGGCAGCAAGGCCAAGAGGCGTGCACTAATGCTGCACTCGGACCCCAGCATCTTGGGTATGTTTTGGGGGTGGGGCCAGCAAGGAGGCTTTTTCATCAGCGTGGAGCAGGCACCCGTAGGTGAGAGCTCAAACCCAGCTTCTTCCGGCTTCAGGGTACTCCCTGCATGGACCCTCTGGTGAGATCGAGAGCGTGGATGACTACTGACCAGCCCGTCCCACCAGCCCCCCTGGGCTGTAGGCCAGGGGCAACAGCAGCAGCTTGGACCCTTGGGTCCCCAGCCTGCAAGCTCCCAACAAGGAGCATAGGAGGAAGCAGGGGCAGGGTCCCCAGCACTTGTTACAAACCACACGATGCACCTTAACTCACCCACCACAAGGCACTTTAATAGATTGGGGAGAAGGGGTTTTTTTTTTTGTTTTTTTGGTTTTTTTTCCTTTTGAAAAAATTTTAAACAACATTGAAGAAAACATTAGGAGAGAAAAAAATATTGTTAAAAACTAGACTCTAAGCACCCCTTTCTCCTCTGGGGATTACAGGGGTGACAATGGAAGGTCCACAGAGTTTTTGGTTTTGTTTTTTAAGAAAAAAGAAAAACAGTGAAAAAAAAAAGGTTAGGAGGCTGAAAGAAAAAAACACACTGTTATTTTGGGGCAGTGGGGACATGACCCCCCACCGATCTGTCCTGTCTGGCCCCCAAGGCTGCACTTACCCTCCCTGCCCTGCCAGTTGGGCCATTGGGGTAACTGGAAGCTGGGGTGCCAGCAGTTTGCACATCGAGGACCTCTCAGCCCCACCGGCCGGACTGCTGTGAAAGGCCCCCTTGTTGCTATGACTGTGGCAGAGATGTCCGGGGTCGGGGCCAAAGGAGCCCCTTGGCTTTGCTGCTTTGGGGGAAAGTTGCACAAATGGGCCAGGCCACCTCCCCTCCCCAGGTGGCTGACGGGGTAGATGGCAGAGGGCCAGCCGGTGCCAACCTCATCTGGCTGTCAGGGCAGCAGAACTTCCACTCTGGTCCTGGTGAGGGGCTTCCCCCACCACTGCCATTGGGGGGACTGGGTGTGAAGTGTAAAGCCCCAGCTCCCTGCCTTGCCACATGAATGTATTCCTTGGGCCACAAGCCCCTGCTGCACCCCCTTGAGTGAGGTGGGGGCAGAGCAGTTACTCCAGGAGCTGGAGAGAGGCACCACATAATGACTATTTCTCCTGTGAAGGGGGTGAGGAGAGGCCCAGGAGGCCAAGGGAATGGGCAGCTTGGAGCTTCAGGTTGCAGTGTGGGGCTGTTAGAAGGGAGCCCTGCTCCTGCAGCTGGCTGGCTGTGTGGGATGTGGACCACCCAGCTCTGCCCTGACCCCTCCATTGACCAAACTGGAGAGGAGTGAGTGGCCTCTCCCCTCCCTGCTCCCAATGCATTTTTTTTTTAATGTTGGGTAAGGTGGGGGGTGAGGGGAGTCAAGACTAGAAGTGTCTGTCTCTCCTAAGTTGGGAGAGGTGGTCCTAATGCTCACCAACCTATTCCCTATCACCTGCCTAGGTTTGTCTCCATTTGTGTGTGTGTGTGTGTGTGTGTGTTTTTTTAACAGTTTGTTGTATCTTGGGTTTTCATCTAATTTCTCCTGTTGACCTCACTGCTCAAGAGTGCAGTATTAGGGCAGGACTCTGCCACTGCCTCCCCTCCATGAATGTATTTCTCCTTCCTGCCCTGGGGAAATGGGGAATAGCCCGTTTTCTTTCCCCATCCATCCCTAGAGAGACCACGTTTTTTGTTTTGTTTTTGTTGTTTCGTTTTTTTGCACCAAAGTGGCAACTGGGTCAGTGTTGGGGGAAAAAAGCTGGCCTGGGGTGGGGGGTGAAGGGGCTCCCTCCACCTGCTTCTCCCTGGTTTCAACAGTGTTAGCGTCAGTGAAAAGACAATATTATCTCTAAAGCAATAAGGGGGTGATGGGCCAGGGGAATGTCTTGCTGCTGCTGGCCCCCCAGCTCCCCCTTTCCTCACGCCAGTATTTGGCGGCATTAGAGGTGTGGGGGGAGTACTGTTGTGACTGAATGTAACTGCCCCCACCCCTGCCGCAGCCAATGCAGGGGGAGGGGGGATGACACTCTTCCCCTCTCTTCCTCCCCCTCCCCCTAGCTAAAGAGACTTTGAACTTAGGGGGCCCTTGAGCCTGGAGAGGCCTTAACCCTGTGAGAAAGTGTAGGGGGAGCCCTCTCCCACCCTATCCCCTTCTGAGAGTGGTCAATGTTTACAAGCCCCTGAGCCCCCAGCCCAGGGACTCAGCCCCCGTTGTTGTCCCTTCCCAGGCCATTTTCCTGGGCCCTCGCTGCTCTCCTGCCCTTCTTGGGGTTGGAGTGGGTGCAGGGGCCTTCTCTGTTCCTTTGTCTGCCTTGTACCCACAATCTCCACCCTGTTATTCCTCTTCTACCTGCCTTGTAAATACTCCCCCCCCCCAATAAAACTTGGTGTGTGTTCCCTTCTGCCTCTGTATCTTTTCTTGGGGGAAGGAGGCATAGAGAGGCAGAGCTCAGAGCTGGGAACTTAAGAGCTGCAGGTAGGAGTGGTTGGCAGTCAGAATGGAGGGCTGTGTTTTTTTAGGAGGAACTACAGCCTTAGCAAAAGTCCTGCCTATGGCTCCAGCTTTCCTCTGAGAAGAATGGGATTTCCTCTCTGGCCCCCTTCTTGGTAGGACCCCATACCCTGCAGCTGATAAGCCCTCCCTGAAGTGAGGAAGACACAAGCAAGAGGAGCAACCAGGTACAGAGTTGGAATTGGTTCCTTTATGGAAAAACTGAAAATATAATAAAAATTAAAATAAAACCAGTTTAAAAAAGCCAGCCCCTGGAGTTTCCACCTCCTGCCTCTGACCCTCCAGGGGGATGAGGCCCTGACCCCAGGGCAGCTAAAGAAGGAGGCTTTCTGCCCCTCTTCCCCATTCTATCCCCATTTTTATTTCCACAGTGGGGACCCCGGGAGGAACCAAACCTGGATAGGGGAGCAGGGACCCAAGGCCCCTGTGGCCAGGGGAGGGAAGCTCATGTGCCTCCAGCCCCAAAGCTCCCGGCCTGTAGTGTGGGCGTGGGCAAGGCCCCTGCTGGCCGGGCCTAGTTAGGGTTGGGGCTATTAGTTCCAGATCTTGAGGAAGGAGTCCCAGGAGCCTGTGGCCACAGCCATGCCATCATCAGTGACCCCAAGGCAGCTCACACGGTTGTCGTGGCCAGCAAGGACACCTGTGAGGAAGCGTTACATCAGAACTAATCTGGCCTGGGTTCCCTGTCCTCACCTGTTCCCACCCAGCACCCAGCTCTCACCTGCACGGTCACCCTTCATGGCATCCCAGATGTTGCAGTTGAAGTCATCGTAGCCAGCAAGCAGCAGCCGGCCACTTCGAGAGAAGGCAACAGAGGTGATGCCACAGATGATGTTGTCATGGGAATACATGAGGAGCTCCTGGTCCGCTCTCAGGTCAAAGAGGCGGCAGGTGGCATCGTCAGAGCCCGTGGTGAAGGCATAGCCATTGGGGAAGAACTATAGAACACAATCAGTGGAATAAGGGCACGGTAGTGCCAGGAGCCTGGCAGAGATGGACTAGCCTAGCCTTCCCAGAACTTACAGCCACAGCATTGATGTCAGATTCATGGCCAATGAAGGTCTGTCTGCACATTGAATCTCGCACATCCCACAGCTTGATAGAGGCATCACAGGCACCTGACACAAAGGTGCGACCATCGGGGGCCAGTGACAAGGACATCACATCCCCACTGTGTCCAGCAAAACCCACTGTCTGCTGGCCTGTCTCAATGTCCCACAGGGCACTAGAAAGGTGGCAAGAAGAAGGAAAGGGTTAGAAGTTCTGGCATACTCCCTGCCTCCCTACCCCTCCACCACATGAGTCCAGATTCGACAGCCTCCATGGAAGGGGCACAAGAGTCACTCAGTCACAGAAACCTACTCTTGTCTCCTTCCTGCCACAGGAGGAGGCTAGGTGTTCAGAATAAGAGCTCCGCCCTTGTTTGCTCAGGGTGTGTGTACTATAAGCTGAGCTCTGAGGCAGTAGTCCCCCAGGCAGGAAGTGTGGGTGAGCCCCAACTGCCTATCCCTGGCAGGGCCTCACCAGGTGGTGTCCCCAGAGCTGGTGATGATTTGGTTGTCATCCAGGAAGCGGCAGCATGACAGGTACCCTGGGGAAAAGGGCTGGTCAGCCGAGTCTCTGAGAAAGAACAGCACAACCCGTCCCCCACCAACAGCACCTGTGCCCTACCAGACCCCTCTCACCAGTATGGCCAGGCAGCTCCCGGCTGACCCGGACATTGCCCTCACGAGTCTTGAGGCTGTAGATGGAGCAGATGTTGTCCAACCCCCCACAGGCCACAAAGTTCCCTGAGGGTGCGTAAGCACAGGTCATGACCCAGGAGGAGCGCAGTGGGATGGCATGGACCTAGGAAGGAGGGACAGCGCCCAGGGTCAGAGCCAACCAGGCAGTGCCTGCAGCCCAGCCCCATCCAGCTTTGGGCATCACCTCTACCTTATTGGTGGTATAGCTGTCCCAGATGATGAGCTTCCCATCCTGGGAGGCGCTGACCAGCAGCCTGTTGGAAGGTGGCAAGGGAGAGGCATAGGGGTTAAGATGTAGAGCTCCCTCAAGAAGGGACACCCTTACCATGGTCCCATCTGGTGGGAAGCCCTTCTGAGACAATTCCCAGCAGTAGCCCAGAAGTTCCTGTCCTCTTTCTGGTTCCCAAGGGCTATCTGGGAGTCACAGTCTTCCCAAACATACTCAGCAACATGGGACATCTCCCCGGGCCTACAAGGCTGCCCCTCCCCACCATCCCAACTCTGCTTGCTATAAACTTAGTCCCAGGGCAAACAAAAGCTCAGCATTCAATCTCAACCACGCACATACCTTGAGTCTGTCCCCCAGTGCATGGCATAGATCTTTGCCAGGTGCCCACGGAGGGTCCTCCGTGTCCTCATCTGGATTCTCCCCACTGGGTCCAGCCCAGCTGTGATCTGGAAGTGGAGACAGAATAGGTCAGGGAGGGGCAGGTGGTAGAGCCCACTAAGCAGTATGCTTCAAATCCTTGCCCCTTGCTCCTTCCCTTCACCCCAAGTCCAGCCTTGGATTCCTCTCACCTGGGTCAGTGTTGAATCCCCACATGCTTTTCGGGCATCCTATAAGAGACAGCCAAGAAAGTCAGAGGGAGGCAGGAGAGGAAAGAACACAGGAAACGGGAGTGGAAAGGATAAGACAGTAGGGGTTAGGGTACACCCCCCCCACAAAGTACAACCTCCCACCTCTAACACACACA